TCCTTGGCTACAGCATCGAGCAGAACTTGAAGCCCACAGTCCAGTGGCTGGTGAGATTGGGTCTGAGCAGACGTCAAGTTGCCAAGGCGGTCGCCACTCATCCTCCAGTGCTGGGTTACAGCATTGAGAAGAATTGTAAGCCTAAATACATTCTGCTGGTCGGTGCCTTTGGTCCAGACTATTCTGCACAACTGATTGCCAGATGTCCACAAATTCTGGGCTACAGCCATCACCGGCTTACCTGGCGTTTAAGTGTTCTAGCAGGTCGAAATGAGACCATGAAACTGGCTTCTGTCATGAGTCTTACTCCCGATGCTTTTCAGAAGCGTTTTCTTGCTGAAGGATTTCACGTGGCACACGTAGAAGTCTGAGCTGCCAGAAGGAATCTCAAAAAGACGATCAGACCTGTTGGTTTCTTTCCCCGTGTCTTGCAGCTTTTGACCCACACCTGATGTTTGTTTTTTGACACTGCAATTTTGTGGTGGCATACTACTGCAGACATGGTCCGACATGGTCATCTAAATCAATGCATATTCTCGTTCACAGTTCTTACCTGCTGGTCTATTTCCAAAGCCAAGACCTTGTGATAAGCATTTGAGAGGGTGGGTAAAACAAACGAAAGTCTGCTTGGGCTCTAGGAGGCAACGTCCATAGAATCCATCGACCCTTAAGGATGGGTCCTTTTGAGGGCAACCTGGAGATCGGCCTGTTCTTGTTGTTACTTTGTTGCAGCCTTAGGGACAACAACCAGCAGCACCGTATAATGAGTGACACTACGTTTGCCCCAGCTGATTTGAGCATCACTGCATTGAAGACCCTTGCTTAGAGCGACGGACCTCTTTGACCACGTTCTTTGCATTGTATTGAATCTGTTGAATCCACTTTTGCTTGGATGGATCGATGTGTTTCACCTTGACCCGATCCAGTTGAGATGTCCGTCTCTTCGCTCCTCAAAACACTCAGGCTTGAGCAGTTTCGTGGTGGAACACCAGGAGAGCTTCAAGAGAGTCTGGAACCAGGAATGCCGCTTCATGAGCCATGGCTGCAAGCGCCTGTCTTTCTCGAATGGCCCTGCATATTTTGCAAAACAAAGAACCTTTGTGCCATATGTGACACCAAAAGACGATGAAGTGATGTTCCTCGCTTGGATGTCGGGGTTTGGGGCGCAAAACGCGCCCACCGAAAATGAGCCGTGGCAATGGATCAAAGCAATTTGCTGTTCCGTTCCCTCAGATCCCGTCGACCGGCCTTCCTGGACCGCCACCGTTCTTCGACGCTGTGCGAACGGACGAAGGGAGGTTCACGTGTTCAGCCGCCTCAATGGCGGCTCTGCTTTCGACGGGATCTCCCTGTTGCTTTGCTGGGCGCGGAGGGGCGCGGGTTCTCTCTTCTTTGAGAAGAGGACAAACATGCTTGGACTCGTGGAACGCCCTGGCCGATCCGTTCACGTCAAGAGACTCACTTTTGGACCGAACTCGTTGAAGAAGAGCGGGGCGTTTTGAGATGAGTTGAGCAGCTAGGCAAAGAAGAGGAACTGGAAACCCGACCAAAGCCCTGGCTTGCTTCTTCAACGCTGATCTCGGTTTGACCCAATCCCTCTTCGTGCTGTTTTGGTTGGGCGGGGTCGGGTACTCAGGATCTCAGCTGCCACGGTGTTCCTGTGGGTCTCCTGTGTGTTGGCCATCTTGATCACTGCAGGAATGCCACTTGGAAAGAACAGAGCAAAGAACACGCCCAAAGGTCGTCGAGCGGATGGTTTTCCGGGAGATGTTTTGGGGTGAAAGAAGCGGAACGAAAAGGGGTGTGAATCTAAAGAGATCCTGGTGCCTTTGGTGAACTGGAAGTTGAAGGAAGTGTGGACAATGCCTTGTCGTTGGAGAAGGGTCATTTTGCTTCTTTTGGGTGTGGGGTGCTCTGTCCCTGTGCAAGTTTGTTGAAAAGATTCGTACATTTTGGGCAAACTGCTCACATGTGAGTTCTTTCTTGGCCATTGCAGATAGTGAAGACTACAGTCAAGACAGACATACTCAGTCTTGGCCAAACAGACGGACCGGGTTCCTTCGGTGTCGGACCCGGGGCAGCTTCGCTCATTGGAGTGATGTCGTAGGGTGTCAATGGGTGAGGAGGAAAAAGGCGCGACGAGAAGCCGCCCCAGACCAAATGGGTTTTGAGTGCCGGTGACCTCCTCAATCGTTTGCTGCTTGGGCTCTGCACACTTACTTCTGACTCGGTCCTTTTCAGCCGGTTCAAACCTTCGGCCCGGCCATGGCCGGGTTGACCCGAGGTTCTGGCTCTTCTTGCAGAACCACATGGCGCGCGGGTGTTGGTTTCGGCGCCGTTGGGTCGGGGGTTGCCCCCGGACCGGGGAGAGAGGTCTTTGCTTCGACCTGGGTGGGGTCTGAACCGGAGATGTGCATGCGATCACACGCGTGTGGCGAGTATGGCACCAGCGCGGTCATGGACCTGTGGGGACCGGTCATGGCACCAGGGGACCATGACTGCCGACCAGCCGAAACATGTGGTCCAAAACCGAGCACCTACAGCAGGGTGAACTGGCCTCAGGTGCCACCCACCGCCAGGGTGTTGGAACGACGATGAAGGGAGGAGCGGGCTCGTTGGCTCCCATGTCATGTCCATGTCGCCGGTCCAGCGACTTTCCAGACAACAAGAGAGGCGAAAAAAGACTACGTGGGGAGGCATGACTGGCGGGTGTAAGCTGTTGGAATCTATGTAGAAAGCACCCCAAAACCCGCCAGGTCACCCAGTTCTCCCTTCCCGGGGCCCTTCCCTGACGAGTCCATCCTGCTAGCACATGTGTACCAGGCAGATGTGACCCTTGGGGGACGTTCATGCTGGTATGTGGATGGTGTAGAAAAACATGTGGATGTTGTTTGACCAAGTTCTGCAACATGGCGCTACAACTATAGTTGTGATGAAACATCCCTGGTCATGTCCTTTTCATGTTTTACATGGAGGTCTCCCTGTAGGGTCGGACATGCTACGGCAGCTACCGACGATGGGATGGCGGAGTCACTTGGGGGCAAACGCTCGGTGTCGGTGGCCACCGATCAGTGAGGCAGACGACGCGAGACGCGAGGTGTACCCCGGTGGTTCGACCCCGGTGTACGCGGCGAATCGGTGGATCAGAGGCCAAGGGTCACTTGGTCACTTCAGCTTCAACTCCTCAGCCATCCTCCCGAGAACAACTAAGTACCAGGACCCGACTCTACAGGTCTCCTTTGGTGGCTTTTGCAGACAAAAGACAGTCGCAGGTGGTGACCTGTGAAGTCGGGTGCTGGTATTAGTAGTTCTTTATGTCAAACAAACAAACCAACCGTCCGTCTCCCTTCGCCCTCCGCGTGCCCAGACGGATCAACACCGCCATGCAGCCACCCACTTCGCCCTCTGTGCCCGGGGCGTCGACCCGTCTGCGAAGGTGTCCAAGAAGCACCGACGGGACTATGTCTCGCTGTGTTGTGGGGAGTGGTGACGAGTGGTCTCCAACCTAATAGCATGCGCAAACTATATTAGACCGTTCTTCCTTTTCTTATTTCTTTGTTTGTAACAGCGATGGCCTCCAACCTACTAGTGATGGCCTCCAGCCTAGGAGCGATGGCCTCCAGCCAAAAAGCGATTGCCAAAACAGGAGCTGTCCGGCAAGAGGTGGTGGCCCCTGACTGGCACTGCAATACAGTTGCACAGAGAGAAGCACGTACGGAATCCAGTTTCGAGACATGAGGTTACTCCTTTGATCTAGAGAATATTGCAAAAACAAGAGAGGATGACCAAGTTTAACGATCATCAGCCCAACACTGACTCAGCAAAGCTACGCAGCGGTGCACGGTTCGCTCGGAGCAGTCTTTGCTGGCTTGGGGCGTGAAAAGCATTTGCTCTTCCAAACCTCACTGCCCTCATTTGTTGTCAGTAGTCAGTCGTCTCTCAAAATGTCCTCACCTGGTGCTTCAATATGAGAAGGGCTTCAACCTGTTACAGCAAAAACCTCGGACCTGGGCTTACCCCACCTGGCAATATGGCTCCTGGTTCGTTCCCGAAGCCACCTGGAGAGCAGTGGGAGACCTTGGCTGTCCGAGAAAAGGCCCAGGTCACCAGGTCCATCAGCGCCGCCTCGGCTGAACCAAAGAAGGAACCAGAAGGCTTAATGACACTTCCGTTTCGAGCGTTCGCCCTCCTTCAATGCACCCCTCATTTCCATCAATGCACCCCAAATTGCCAGCACCACACGTTTTTTCCATCACCCCCCAAATGGCCCGAATGGACTTCGTCCCTTTCCACGACTTCCCAAGCTCCCGCCAGGTACGATCTTGGGGCTCCTGGCACCGGTGGCCTACGGCCTCTACTTCCGCCTGCCCTGGCCCTTGCGCGGTCCGCAAGGGGGACACCTCCACGGCCGGACGGTGGAGTCGCCCACCTTCGAGGCAGGTCGAAGCGGCGGCCGACCGTCTTCGGCCACGGCCGTTCGGCGTCACCGGGAGGACGTGACCCATGTCCCGGTTCCTTCCTGAAATCCCCGGTTCCGGAAGCGGCAAGCCAGCTGTTTGCCTGGGGAGAGTGTTCTTCACGCCGAAATAGAGGCTGGTTGAGGGTGAGGTTGAAGAAGAGAAGTTTGATATGGTTTGATGGTATTTGAAAAGGATTGAAAGCGTTGAGCGGTTTGCTGGGGTTTTTCTTTGAAAAACTGAGGCGTTCAGCTCGGGTTTTCGACTCAACCTTTTGGAGCCACCCACGGAGACCACATGGACTTCCAGCATAGTCCTCGGCGTAGCAGTGACCTGTGGTCACACATGCAGCTGGGTGGAGAAACCATCAAAAGAAAGGAAAACGGTTCGATCTACAGCGTTGGAAGCCAAACTGTCTCCTTCATCCGAACAGGTTCATCCGAACACGACCTACGTAAGCTTTGGGTATGGCTCCCAGCGCCAGGATTGTATTGAACCGCCCGAAGGCAGGAACCTGGAAGCGCGGATGGCCGATGCAAGGGAGAACTGCAGAATTGGGGCCGTCGTGCATGGGAGAATGGTCCAAATCCTTCGAAGTTCTGGTCTTTTCTGACAGGACAGGGGTTGATGAGTTGTGGCTCTAAAGAAGGGTTTTTGGCAGCGCAGCTTGGGGCGACCTGAGCAGTTCTTTCTCCCTAGACTGGGGATCCAAGAACTAAAGCGTCACCAGCGGCGACGGAAGCCACTGGGCACCATCAATTAAGGGAGAAAGGTGAGTCACATGACTTTCAAGATGAGACTATGCTATACTATACTATATACTATATACTACAATATCGTTAGTTGTCCTTTTTCACGCCCTCCATCTCTTCCCAAGATCCGTCCGACTCTCGACCGTCCAGGCCAAACGCTGTCGGTGTCCCGTTCGGTGTCCAGCAGCGTGTCCAGCGCCTCCTCCCGTGCCTCGGCGGAGAGTGGGTGTGGGAAACGGGGGGCACCGCAAGGCGACGAAAGGAAGAAGAAGAAGAAGAAGAAGCACACCGTGTTTGACACACTGAATGTACTTGCTTGATGCACCTTCAAAGAGACTAGCTAGAGAGAGAGAGAGAGATCCAACTGCGGCTGATGAGGCATTCGGTCGTGTGGATCTTCACCCTGCTTTGGGTGCAATGACCGCTTATTCATCCCAATCCAAACTTCAGTAAACCTGAGTACGAGAATGCTTTGGTCTCTTTTGCCTTCCATCAGAGGTGGGTCCTTTGTAGGTGCCTTTTTTTGTGAAAGACCGGTCAAGTTGTCCGGCCGCTATTCAAGTCCTGCTATTAGTTGCTGTTTTATTTACCAGGCTACCGCCTGCAGCCGCCGACCCCCAAGGGATAGAACCTTAGCGCTAGCCTTGCTCTATGTTAGCCTTAGCCTTAAGCCTTAGCCTTAGCCTTAAGAGTGCAGACCCAACCCAGCACCACCAAAGCAGGTACCCAAAAAGTCGACTTTTTGGGTACCTCCCAGATTTACCATCAGACGTCAGCTCTTGCATGAACCCCGATCATTGCCCAAGAATTTAGACCCAACCCTTCACCACCAAAGCAGGTACCCAAAAAGTCGACTTTTTGGGTACCTCCCAGGTTTACCAATTTAGACCCAACCCAGCACCACCAAAGCAGGTACCCAAAAAGACAAAGCCTAGAGCATTCCTAGGAAAATGCCAGAAAAGCCTTTGAAAATTTCAAAAGCCAACAGAAAACGTGACAAAATCCACGAAAAAGCAAGGGCATTGGCCTGGACCATGCCGCGACCAGCCCGGGATTCGAGCCCAGGACCATTTTGGACCGTGCTTATTTTCCCGCACGGGTCGAGAGGGTGCCCCAAGATGTAAATCAATTGGGATGGCAGATTCTTGGACAATCCAGGTCGCTTTCCCGGCAGGATTTCGTCACTGCAGCAAGGGTCCGGAGGGGTAGGGGAGGTAAGGTCTAGGTCTAAGGCTAAGGACTAGGTCTAAGGCTAAGGCTAAGGCTTAAGGCTAACATCGACAGTCACGCCTCAAGGCTAAGGCTTAAGGTTCAGCTAACTTTGACCCAGGTTTACCATCGGACATCATCTCTTGCATGAACCCCGTGATACTGAACCCTCGTCCCCATTAAGGATATCATTACCCAAGAGTTTAGACCCAACCCAGCACCACCAAGACAGGTACCCAAAAAGTCGACTTTTTGGGTACCTCCCAAATGTCATGAACCCCGATCATTGCCCAAGAATTTAGGCCCAACCCTTCACCACCAAAGCAGGCACCCAAAAAGTCGACTTTTTGGGTACCTCCCAGGTTTACCATCGGACGTCATCTCTTGCATGAACCCTGTAGTGCTGAACCCTCGTCCCGATAAAGGATATCATTGCCCAAGAATTTAGACCCAACCCAGCACCACCCACAGCAGGTACCCAAAAAGTCGACTTTTTGTGTACCTCCCGATTTACCATCGGACGTCAGCTCTTGCATGAACCCCGATCATTGCCCAAGAATTTAGACCCAACCCTTCACCACCAAAGCAGGTGCCCAAAAAGTCGACTTTTTGGGTACCTCCCAGGTTTACCATCAGACGTCATCTCTTGCATGAACCCCGTAGTGCTGAACCCTCGTCCCGATAAAGGATATCATTGCCCAAGAATTTAGACCCAACCCAGCACCACCACAGCAGGTACCCAAAAAGTCGACTTTTTGGGTACCTCCCGATTTACCATCCGACGTCAGCTCTTGCATGAACCCCGTGACGCGTTGGAAGTCGACTCGGCGCCCGGACTTGCGCTGAATCGATCGGTTTCTCCCGGTAACCCAACCCATCACCACCAAAGCAGGTACCCAAAAAGTCGACTTTTTGGGTACCTCCCAGATTTACCATACGTGATCTCTTGCATGAACCCCGTGGTGATGATGATGCGTTGCTCACCGACGAGTCCGCGTCTATATCCTGCTTTCCAGGCACACTCTATCGCCGAGGACCCCTCGCAGGCCAAACTGCAAAGGTGGGTTGACAAAGCCTAGAGCATTCCTAGGAAAATGACAGAAAAGCCTTTGAAAGTTCCATAGGTTAGCAAAAGGTTACCAATTTTTGGCAGAAATCTGGGAGCCGAAAAACTAGAGGAAGCGCTAGAAAATTCGTGGAAAAGCATCCAGCCGAAAACATAACAAAATCTAGACAAAGCCTAGAGCATTCCTAGGAAAATTCTTGGAAAAGCATCCAGCCGAAAACATAACAAAATCTAGACAAAGCCTAGAGCGTTCCTAGGAAAATGCCAGAAAAGCCTTTGAAAATCTCATAAACCAACAAGAGCATTCCTAGGAAAATGCCAGAAAAGCCTTTGAAAATCTCATAAACCAACAGAAAACGTGACAAAATCTACGAAAAAGCAAGGGCATTGGCCGGGACCATGCCGCGACCAGCCCGGGATTCGAGCCCAGGACCATTTTGGACCGTGCTTATTTTCCCGCGCGGGTCGAGAGGGTGCCCCAAGATGTAAATCAATTGGGATGGCAGATTCTTGGACAATCCAGGTCGCTTTCCCGGCAGGATTTCGTCACTCCAACAAGGGTCCGGAGGGGTAGGGGAGGTAAGGTCTAGGTCTAAGGCTAAGGACTAGGTCTAAGGTCTAAGGCTAAGGCTAAGGCTTAAGGCTAAGGCTAACATCGACAGTCACGCCTCACCCCACGGTGTGGGGTCGGCGGATTCACCTACCACTTTGTATCCCTTGGTCCTGTTCCAAACACCCACCCACCAGATCCCCTGCACTCCACCAGATGCCGCCGCCCTCCTGGCCGCCCTGGGGCGACGGGCGCACACCGCGCTGCGGCCTGGTGGCGCCCGCGAAGGCGGATGGCCGGGCAGCGCAGTCCGCAGCGAACGTGGAAACCGTCGCGTTTCTTCGGGGGTCCGCAGGTGCTTTCCGCAGGTCCTCCTTTTCTGTTGACATCTTGGGAAAAGGACCGTGCATGTTGGAGTAAAGTAGACTATGGATGGGGGGGCCCTATTGTGGATCTCTTTTGCGGGGGGTGATCAATCTGCTAGTTGAACATGACAAAGGTTCATCAAGATGGGTTCGGTGAAGAATCAAACATGTCCTGAGTTTTTGGCACTAGCCATGTGCCTCAGGAAAAACCATATACCTATATAGTCTATGCCCCAACAAAAGAAGGCCTTCCCACTCGACGTCCTCACCTTCGATCATGGCTGAGGGGTCAAACGTTTCGTGCCCACCGAGTGGAGAGGTGAAGCGGCTCCGTCGGTTGTGAGTTTTGAACCCGAAAAAGCCCAGCTGTGGTGGAAGAATGGAAAAAGGACCGGACCAGCATAGCAAGATAATATGTGAACTATGTCATGATCATTGACCTATGCCACATCTTCTGTGAAATCTCCAGGCAGAAAACAACAATTCACTCATCTCCTCTCTATCAGGTGTTGAGACCCATCTTCACACCGCACACCGCAGGCACCAACCTGGACGATTCCGGCGTGCTCATGGCCGAACTGCCTTCAGGCACCTGGTCGTGGCACCTGCGCTGGTGACCGGTCCAGTGGAGTCGGTGTTCAACGACTTGGGAGGAACGGATGTCTACGGTCGTCTACAGAAAGCATCTGGTGTTGTTTTTCTGGGTCCTTGAGAAGAACTTTTATTTGCATTGAGGAAAACTAAGGTATTTGGGGGGATGCCATTGAGTCATTTTGTGAATTGTAAGCCTTTGGCCGCGTAAGAAGCGCCCTCCTGCCCCCGAACAAACGTTGAAACCACTTTGAAGGCTACAATTCCACGAAATCAGGTTCAACACCGTGGCAGTTCAAGTGGCCACCAGAATAACATGAAATAACATGAACCTGCTCCTTGGTAGCGTTTGCATCTCCTATCTCAACCACCATTCCACTTCATTGTTTCCCCATGGCAGCGTGGCAGCGTGGTCCAACAACAGGAGACAACGCCCTGGGTCGCCACGCCTATATATGTCGCCTAACGTCGGAGCCTCTCGGTTTCGCCGCCAATCGCCACGAACGCGGCGTGAGGCCTACCAACCCTGGAGGACGACCTGAGATTCAGCGAGATGACCTGAGAAAGGGAGATGCGACGATGCGCCGCGACGGACGCCGCCGTCTGGGTCCACGTGCCATGACGTGATCTCGTTTGGGGGTCGGCGATGGTCGGTGCACGGCGGTCGACCGACAGGGTGAAAGGGTCCCATATGGATGGAGATCTTGGTGCTATAGGATCCAGTTGCGGGCGCCAGAGTGAATAGGGATAAGACGGAAAGATTCTCGCGTCCGCGGGTGACGCAAGGACTTCTTGAATTTTGGTGAGGAGTGAAGAGTGTTTCGCTGGCCTTAGGTCTAGAAAGGGAGAATGTCATTCGACTAGATCTCACTGGAAGTCATCCGATTGACAGGACTTTTCTCGTCACAAGATTCCTTGGGGCTTAGAGTTGACAACTGGCAGAACCATCTATTGTTCTTGGAATGCGAAAGACGCTCGGATCACGTGCGTGTCCCAAAAGAATCCAAAAATGATCACCCGATCTACAATGAGTTAGGTGTGACCTTCTGTCAGGGGCAAAAACCTAATATGAAGAGCGTCTGCATGCCAAGCAATGGCATGGACGGGGCCCACTTCTCTAATACACCAATACGTCTCAAAGAAGTAGATTGATGTTGTCTCAGTGAGATGGATGGAGTCTCAACGGTGGCGTTCCATCTCGCTGACATGTTGATGCCTCAAATGCTCTGGTCGCTGGACCTGTCGGTGGACGACTCACGACTCTGCTTGTTCCAGACATTGAGAGAGTGAAGACTCAGGGTGTGTTTCTCCACGAAGGCAAACTGGTTCGTTCCTGTTTCGTTCGTGCCATGCAACTCTGTTTTTGGGGTTCATTTGACTCATGTGAATTTCCATCTATTTGAGAGTCATTCTATCCTTTGCAAAGCAAATAAAACATACACCAAAAGCACCCATGAACACAGTTTTGAGTCATTCTCTTAAAGAATCCGTGGACATGTCCACCCGAGCCCACCACTGAGCCAGCCCGGTGTCACCCAACCAGTTTGGCTCGAGCCAACGATTCGCTCCGAGCACGCCATGCAGCGCTCGGACGGCCCAGTGGACCGGGGGAAGCGGAGGGCGGAACCAGCTCCGCTTGTCGCACGAGCGGAGCTGGTTCCGCTCGTTGGAGCTGGTCTGAGCTCGGAGCGGAGCTGGTCCAGTTCCACCGCCAGCTCGATCGAGCTCTCCCAACGGCCTGAGCGAAATCGAAGCCCCAAGACCTACGTTTGGAGAACGGTGAGTGGAACTGGACCGGCCCGAAAGCTTGGAGAGAGAGAGAGAGAGAGATCGAGCCCGGATTTGCCCCTCGGTGTCTTCGGACCAGACGAAGTGGAAGGTTGGTCCATTTTTTGGGGTGTCGGAAAAAGAACGGCCAGGGCTGGTGTTTGGGTTCGATTCGTTTGAAGCTATAGGAGAACAGCTGAACATGAACAGCTTCTGTGTGTTTCTTTTTTCTGAAGAATTCTCCCACCTCCTCCGGGCCTCCTCCGGGCCCCCCCGGGAGATGCCAGACCCTCCTTCAGCTGCTGGTCTGAAAGCATGAGCCCACCATGTGCGTGGTTAACAAGAAGTCTCTGAATGAGTTCGAGCAGTTGGGAACCAGGAACTTCCAGGAATTCCTTGTCAATGAATGTATTGGAAAAAACATCAGGAAGGAATTCCAGGATTTTGAACAATGGCCTATCTTTCGGTCGGCATTGGAACGGAAGGAAGACAATTACATAGCTACCAACTGAGTGTGAGGCTGACACAAAAAAAGACCCGGTCTCGCTCATGTCTTTCCTTCAAAACGCGGCAGGGTGTTTTTCGGTTTTGCAGCATCGTCTTGTGGGATCTACCCGACCATCACGAATTCCGTTTTGGGCGGAATTGGATGATGGACAAAGCGTCTGGGCCAGAACCGGCAGTGCTTCGAAGTGAGTCCAACTCTTCACCCACCACAAAAACACATGATGTTCCCATAGACATGATGTGCCCAAATTGGACCATCAAAAACCATTTGCACCTGTTTTCCTGCGCAGTCGCTGGGTCCGTCAGCACTGGGTCGGCCTCAAAACGTCGGCACCGCGCCGCGAAGGCCCGGTCTTGCTGGGGGGGAAGCTCAGAGGCGCCGAAACGCGGGGAGAAGAGGCTCACACCCCCACTTCGAAGCTCCAACAAGCGGTTGAAAATGAAGTGGGTCTTATGAAGTAGCTGGAGAACTGCAGACAGGTCCTGGGAGAAAGATTAGTAGATTGCTTGTAGATTGCGTATAGGTGGTCTGAAGCAGCTCTTGAGCACATGTGTGAAACATCACATGTACTCAATGTACTCTCTAAGTGTGACTCAAACTCAAAAATCCCGTGCCTGTGAAACCTCACCACTTCGGTGTGGACCTCCATCGCTTCCTGACAGACAGGGAAACGGAGTTCCGCCAGCTTGTCACTGGTCAAGATCTTCAGGATCAATCATCAAACTTTTTCCCCAAACAGTGTGGACACACGTCAAGGGGTTCTTATGGTAGTAGTTATAAGCACCGACACGCGGAGGGGTTGTCTTTAGGCCCGGACTTCAGAGGAGCGCAGTGGCGTGGATGCATTCTCTATACAATGTGATCCACTTCACCTCGCCCCTTCCTCCACTTCACCTCACTTGGCCACTTCACCGTCTTGGAGGCTGCGAAGTGCTCAACAAGGCCAAACCTGAGCAGTTGAGGTCCTTATCTGCCTCAGGCCGGACAGGATTGGGCGAAGGGGCTGCGCGAGCCGACTGCTCGGATGCGCGATATGGAGGCTATGCTCCACCATCCCTATCCATCTAGCCGGTCCGACCACTGCAGTGAAAGGAGTGTTCTGCGGTTCGGGCCAAGTCCTTTGTGCTTCCCTTCAGCTAGTTGCAGCAGGCTACTCTGGAGGCTCCCAGGTGTGCCAAGCGACAAGCAACCCGCTGTCCCCGGTAGAAGGCCCAAGACATCCGAACGTCTTCCAAAACGCTCCGTCTCAGGCAGCGTTCCCTCCGTCGTCGTCAGGTCGAGGTCCTCTCCCACCGTCGCCACTTTCGCCTCCGACCCCTGTGTCATCATGTTTGGTCCCCTCGACGCCGGTCCAAATCCCTACAAGTCCAGTCTGACCCAGGTCCAGTCTCCTGGTCTTTTACCTCAAGTATTGGTTTTGTATGACCATCTCCAGTATTTCATGAGGTCAGTTCCTGACTTGTAGGGAAATGGTGGCTTTTCAGCGCCCCACATGACGGTGTCGCGTCGAGGCCTCAAGGTGGAATTGCTGGCCACTCCCCGAGGCATTCGGTGCGCAGTCGGTCGTGCTTTGGACCCGATGGCACCGAGTGCGCAGGGGTTCAATTTCGCGCGCGCCACGCACCGATTTGGACGACCGTGCAGGAGTGACCCGTCGTGCACAAAACCTTGGTGAGTGCGGATGGCCATGGTCAGAAGTCCGAATTTGATGCTAACCTCAGTGAGTAGGTTGATCTAGGAAGGATGAATGGTGCAGGAAGTCGCGAAGTTTTCTGTGCTTGCTCTTGGCCAACTCATGCAATACATTCAGCTTCGAACGACCTTTTTCTTAAGATTCGTTCCGACGGTGCGAATTCGGGTCTTCAGGTCTTCCGTGGAACGAGGCGTGGTTTCCGAGGCGGGCCTCGGCTGCGGCGTTCGGCGCAGGCTTCGCTGGCTTCGGCGGTTTCCACACCTCGATCCTGCTCGAGGGTGAGGAGCGGTCCTCCGGCGTCCCGCGGTGGGTGCGGGGTGCACACGTGGCGGACGGGACGTGCGGAGAGCCGACGGTTGTGGCGGGGTGGGTGTTCTTTTCCGGAGAATCCGTTCACTTGTTTGTGCCGGTGAAAATGATTTCGGGTAAGACTAGATGAGCAATTCCCCTGAACCTAAAGTTGCACCAAACCCACCACACAACCGAGCATTTGTTTGGGTGGGCACCAATTTTCAGTTGCTCGCCAGCCCGTCACCACGCGCCCCCAGTAGTGGCAGGGAACATGGAGCCTGCTGTGGGTGAAATCTGGAAACTCAACCAGAGACATTTTATGACACGTTTTATGACCGAGAATGATCGAATTATTTGGAGAGATGATCGACTATTTGAAGGTTTGTGTTTTGAGTTAATAAAGAGTGATGGTACGGTCGATGTTCCATCAGTTTTTTCATTGGTTCGCTGCAAAGTTTGTCCACTAGTCTGGTTGTTCGCTACGGTGAGGAACACCCCCAAAGATGACTCCAAAGGCCACCGAAACCCACCGATTCGGAGAATCAGCTCAGTCAGAATGCGGCGGAGGGCGGAGAAGGGTGCTTTGGGTTTGAACTATTCCGTCCGATCGTGCTGGCGGTGCTTGAAGGGGTTCGTTGTCACCCCATGCCAGTGAATTTCCTTGTCACCTTGTTTCCGTTTTGGCACACCCTGATGTGAAGCAGGGCGGAGTAGGATGCTTTTGAGAAGCTACAGTGCTACGCTGCGAAGACATGAATTCTGGACTCCCGTCGAACCAATTGGGAGCACGACCAAAAGGAAGCTGGGCCAGTTGGGAAGACGAGCATCGGCCACTTCGGTCCACAGGGCACAAACAAAACATTGCCCAACAAACTAGTAGCAATGCCCTTGTTACTAGTAGCGATGCCAGGAGCTACTAGTAGCTTCTTTGCTGCTAGTAAGATTCCTTGTTACTAGTAGTTTCTTGTTAGTAGTATGGCCACGAGCCCCTAGTAGCATCCTTGCTCCTAGTAGCGTCGCGTGCGCCGCGTGCTGTGCGAGGAATATTTCTTCTGCTCCACGGGCATCCGATGCTCCTCCAACGTCTTGAGCCACCCTGCCTACGATGAGGTCCGCCACACCTCTATTCTGTGTGTGTGGCACGTCCCAAAATGGAAAAAAAAGGGGAAAGCAGCAGAGATCCAAGTGAGAGCTTCACTGATATGCTCCAGCTCCTGCTGGAAATGCCAACAGTTAGAGTGGACTGCTTTAGGTTCTGAGTTGTTCATCTTCTCCTGAGTCGTTCCTGCACAAAGGCTTTGTTTGGAACTACCTCACTCTGATCACTGTTTCTTTTATGCCCGCCCACCATACTTGCACTCTCCAGAATGTGTAGCGATGAAGATCCTGAAAACGAGCGTTGAATAATGTTGGGAAGGACATGATATCACAGACAGGTGATGCATCACCCGGCCTGCTCCCACAGGCCGTGCGAATCAAGGTAGGCACCAGCAAGGCAGGGCGGTAGATCCGGCCAGGTGGAGGAGGTAGATGTCGCTTCCTTCGGTGACCGGCATTCACTCCGGCAAGTGTTGTAGCGAATTCCGTGCCGACAATCCTAGGGGTGATGGTTCATGAATTGGGTGAGCGCATTGGGTTCGTTGTTCAAGGCAATTACAGGGAGTGAGCGCATCCCAATAGATAAAGCTCATGACCATTCGGACCATTCCCCGATCCAAACAAAGCTCTTTCGCGTCGTCCTGCGACTCACGAGCCCTTCTTCGCAGTACAACCCGACGACGACGAGGGCGCCGGTGTCCACTGCGAGGCCACGGGGCAGGAGCTCTTGAACTTCATGTCCGAGCACTTCACGCCTGGCAGTGCCTGGGAGTTCAACGGACCGAGTTGGAGCGAAATTGGGAGAATGAACGGCCGTTCATGCGGGAAAAAGGAAGAAGCTGGAAAAACGTGGTGCGGAGAATGACACATGATGTTCAGGATGGTGCGGATCAAAAACATCTGCGGTTCTGATGTCCAACAGATGGGTTTTTCTGTCGATCTTTGATGAATCAGCTTGGTGGCGAAGCGCTGGAGAATGAGTCTCGAGGATTGGCGCGTTCCCCTTGTTCCTCCACTCAAAATGAAGAGATGTATTTATAAAAAACATCTGTTTTCAAGGGGTATTTGGGGATCACAAGTCACACATCTTCGTCCTCGCAGCTCGGCCGACAGCTCAGTAGCTCAGCTCAGGGTCTTTGGTCATTGATTTAGCGGATGCTGTGCAGATGCTGTTAACTGTTCAATCTGTTCCTGAAACGTAAAATGATCACGTACGCCATCACAACGGGGATTGCTTCCAGGTTCGATCCACCCAAAACCCGGCGACTGCAAGAGCACCAGTGACCGAAGGGAAACCCTCACCGACAGCGTGTTGGACAGCGGGCGGCTGGTGGGGGGCAGCCTCACCGAGAAGGCAGTTGTTCACGCGGAATGTGGTGAACCTGCGGAGGTTATGACTTCTTGAGGAAGAACTGCAATTCCTTCACCGACTGCGCCTTATACTTCCTTTGCATCTTGGCCTTTTTCAGACGGTGGAAATGGTTTTTGATGAGAGGTTGGAGGATCGGGGTTCGTTGACCCATACCTTGTGGATTGGGTTGCTGAGTACGGACATGTTCGGATAATGGTTCAGTTGCCTAAACCCTCCGTTGATGAGTCATCCGCTGAAATCCGCCAGCGGAATGTCTCATGAAATAGTCATGGAAATTTTGAGGACCGATTGTTTCTTTGTGTCTTTTCATTGTGCCCCGTCCTGGAGGGGAGAGTTTGCGACGACTGGGGAAGTGGGGACGGATGCTTGACGACACAGCGAGTTCGCAGCGCCCCTACGAGGAGCGTTCGGACGCTACGAACGGTGCTCCTGGCCTGACTACTATAGGCACAAGAAGCTACTAGGAACAAGTGCATCGCTTCTAGTAACAAGTGCCTTACTAGTAGTAACAAGGACGCTACTAGGAACAAGAAGCTACTAGTGTTCCAAAGGGATGCTTCTAGTAACAAGAAGCTATTAGGAACAAAGGCCATCGCTACGAACGGAGCGTTCGGACGCAAATAGATTGGAACCCCAACATCGTTGGTTCCCGCGGTCGTGAAAATAACAACGGAAGACACCAGCTGTTCGTTTTTGGGGACACCTTTCAGTTGAAACTCCCAAGAAGGATGCTATTCACACGTTCGCTTCGTTCGCCTACGTCGACCAAGTAGGATCCTGAGGAGCTTCCGGACTTCGACGGAAGTCCGAAACGTCGAAGCTGAAAGTTCAGACACCGAAGTCCTGTGTCAGACACCATCCCAATCCCCTATCTTGGACAGCTTCGGGGATGCTCTCCTCTAGCTCTCTCCTCTTTTCGTCTCTGGACAATCAGGTCAGAAGCGTTTGGATTTGCGCTACCGGGCCATGGAGAAGTTGGGCTGGATGGCCGAAAGCCGCTCGGTGTGTCGAAACGGGAAGTCAACCGCTGCAGGGGTCGACGCACGTCCGGGTCAGTCCGTTGGGTCGTTGGGATTCCCAGAGGTTCCGCCCCCACTGGTTTGGAGGGAAGGAGGGCGTGGAGCAAATCCCAAACTTCGAAACGAAGCGAAGTGCAGAGGTACAAAGGATGGTGCCAGATTTCCGGTGGGGAAGAGAGGGGAAAGCATGGTGGTCGCTCGGGTCCGGTTTTTTGTTGAACCAACAGGGATGTGTGACTGCAATCCAACGAGCACGTCTCTCTTCCAAACATCCGTCGCACCGAACCACCGCACCGAATGGCTCCGGGCGAACGTTTTTCGGTCGCCGAGACAGGTCAGACCGGACTGTTGCACTCCATCAGCGAGGGCGAGTCGCACGGACCGCAAGTCGCGAGCGAGCGGACTGTCGCGGACCGGTCCCGTGCGGTTTAGTCAACGAGGCCTGTCCAGGTGGGGGTTAGGGGGTTCCCTCATCCAAAAGCTCGAGTGGTTCACAAAGAAGACTGGAGTAAAGCCTTTTATGTCATTTGGACTTGAATTTTGTTAAAACCACCACGACAAGGATATCACACGATCGGAGGGAGAAGGGATTGGGATGAGCACTCATGCGGTGCCTTCAGCATGATCATGCATGATCCATAGTCGCTCAAAAGGAGGGAAATGCCCTGGTAGCCCCTATCGGCCACATGTCACGAAAGCTAGCCTTAGCTAGCTGGAGTTGCTCTTGCTTTAGCAAGTTAAGTGACGGGGTGGACGCACTTCAGAAACCTCAAATAATTGATTAAATCAATCTTATGGACCCCCCCCCCCCGCGGTTCGACTCCCCCCTGCGCGCGGTGAGCGGGACCACCAAGCAGTCGCAGCACACCAAGCATCTGCAGTGCCCAGCGCAGCAGCGGCAGCAGCACCAGCAGCAGCAGCAGACCACCCAGCGGCGGCAGCAGCAGCGGCAGCAGCATACCCAACGCCGCGGCAGCAGCAGCCGCAGCAGACCACCCAGCGCCAGCAGCAGCAGCAGCAGCAGACGACCCAGCGCCTGCAGAGCAGCAGCAGCACCAGCAGCAGCAGCACCAGCAGCAGACCACCGGAAGCCCGGCTAGCTTTCGTTCACCCCCTCTGGCCTCAAGTTTCACCACTCTTGGGATTTGAGGAGGGGATTTTAGAGGCGTTGGTCACTTCCGCACACCAGTAGCTGGATCAACGCTCCCAAAACTGGCACAATCGAAGTGATGTGAAGAAGTGAAAACATTCCACTGTCGGATCTTTTTCAGAATCTTTCACGTCTTTTTCAGATTCGCTGGAAACGATGTCAAGTTTAAAACGGTAAAAATCAGCTGGAATTCCCCACGGGCCCTGAACTCCCCTGAAGACGACGCGACCGTGTGTCGCCACGACGCTCAGATACACCGCGAACCCCGCCGCTGAAGGGTTCAACGTCGAGGCGTCTCCGGGGGCCGTTCGGACGGAGACGGGGAGCGTTCGGACGGACCCGAACGGGGCGCTCCTGGCCTTACTACTAGGAACAAGTGCCTCGCTACTAGTAACAAGTGCCTTACTAGTAGTAACAATAAGAATTTAATTGGAATTGTAATTCCTAGCTTCTTGTTACTAACAAGAGGGCGCTACGAACGGAGCATGGTCGGGCATCGCGACTCGAGTCCGGCGTTCGGACGCACCGAACGGGGCTCCTGGTCTTACTACTAGGAACAAGAAGCTACTAGCATAGCAAGGACGCTATGAGCTTGGAGGTCCTCGCTACTGGTAGCAAGAAGCTAGGAGCCAAGGCGTATTGAATACGCTCTTCGATTTTTTTGGAGTCTTGCATGGATGGTGTCCTAAACCGGACTGTGGAGTGCGCTGGTTGGTGAAGGACCATGTTCTTTTTTGGAGAGGGACCTGTATTCGACATGGATGAGTGACCTCATTTTCGAGTCCCGTCTCAAAAGTATAGCTCAAGGCAGGAAATCGCACTCGATGGGGTTGCCCCAGCTTGGAGTGTCCTTCTCGAATTTGGGGTGCCCTCTTTGTTGGCGCCTGGCGCCGTCCAAACCACGTGAAGGAGGCCACCAGTCAAACCCGAGACCGGCAGGAGATCTTGGAAGAGATCGCAGAACTCTGGGATTGCGAGGAGGTCGCAGCATCGCACCGCTGTCCGGGAGTCGAGGTTGGTTTGTAACGAACGCGCGACTGGCAACCAGTGGACACATGGAAGTGGAGAATGGCAAGGACTTGTGGACTTTTTTTTACAAACCTTGAGAACTCTTACTTGGGTAGTTCTGACAGAACCTGAGATGAACGCAGCCGGAACCTACAAGCTGTGGTGGCGTACACAGCGAAGAATTCGCATTCCTGCAGGCACCCTCCGGGCGCGGAGCGCCCGCCTGGTCAAAATCAAGCAAAATGGATGCCAGGCGACCTAAAAACGCGGGGCTTCCGCCTACCTGCCTCCCCTACCTGCGGAGGAGAGTGAGCCGGAAGCGCCCAGCTGTGGCTACGCCTTCACGACCGTCGCAGCGCCGACGGTGAGCTGTTGGCCACCCATGCTCTACCAGAGGCGGGAGACATGGTGCGGACTGGGATGGGTGTAGACTCACCTTCTAGATTCTAGAAGTTGGAAGATGGAGAGAAGAACATGGACAGATGTGACAGAAGAGATGAAAAGAGACAAGTGAGAGAGAGAGAGAGAAGAGTTTTTTAAGGAGTAACGTCGAATTGCCAGGCTGTTCTTATTTCTTGTTGGTTCGTCCTACCATTACTTGGGGAGATAGATTATGTTTTATTCGCCAGTGATTTGTTTTCAACTTGTTCGTCAAAGAGTAGAGAATGCGACCGTCGTCCAGCAGTGTCCTTTGTCGAAAATGTCTGAGTCTGTCGGTCAGTTGGTGCAGTGCTGCATGCAACCTGGTCTCAGAGTCGAGGACATGGCATGGCCTTCAAGTCAACGCCAAATCCAAATGGCCAAGGCCTAAAACTACTGAGCATCGCCTGGATGGGAGGAGACATCGCTTTTTCGACCCTCATCACCTCAAGATCCGAAGCCAAGTCCCAAGCCGTGGAAGAAGAGACCTGGTCTCGGCTTCCCAGCCCACACGTTTCTCCACCCTTTTCCGTCCAGGTAAGCAGCCTTTTGAAGGCGACGACCCCACCCGCCGCGGTGCCCGCGGCCCGGCCGTCGCCGGCCCGAGGTGACAGGGCGTACCCAATGTTTGGTCGCCCAGCCGGTCAGGACCAGCCATGTGATCCTTCAAACAGCAGCAATTCTTACTCCAAAGAGATCAAAGAGAGCAAGGTGAACGGGCACTTTTAAGTCAGTCTTAGGGTTCGCCATCACCTGTTTATGACCCCGCAAGAAGGTTCAAAGCGACCTCCTCAGGTGTCGACAAGACCTCCTCAGGCCTCTTCCTTTCGAGTGCAACGAAGATCTTCCTCAGAATTGGGACCAGCTTCCGACCCCCAACGCCTCCCCAGCTCGCTTCCGAAAGACCTGCCCGGCTTTCCGCCCGGAGAACGCCCGCGGGGCGGACAAGAGTGCCGTTTTTCGGGGAAAGCTCCGGCGGGGGGCGTTGGCGCCCCCGGGATTGGACGACGGTGAGGTATGCCGTGGGAGAGATGTAGGGCGGCTCGGACACTTCGCTGTGCACTTGGCGCGAATGAAGATGGTGGAAAACCCTTCGGAGACTGTGTTGGTTTGGCATTGAATCCTCGTCACGTCTAGGTATGCGGTTGAGCTGCGGTGATTATCGGTTTGGAGGATGGTGGGGTCTTTTTTTTGTGCTACTCTTCAAGAAGAAGAGGCGTGTTTGATCATGTTCGGGGCCATCCCACTTGACACCCAGGTGGATCCGCGGTTATCAACCATGAGATTGGAGACCTATCATATTTACATCCCCAGTCAGCGCTAGCATGCGCTAGGTCGCTAGGACTTGAGTTCACCACTGGGATGACGCTTGCGCGTTGATTGTACAGATCCACGGGTGGTTTTGAGATCCCCTTGCGTGAGTGGAGGAACAATGAAGGGACAGGGCACGTTTGGTGGTCGGAAGCCCTGGGCATCTCTCGGTTTGGAGATTCCCCCCCAATCGCAAGAACAAAAACAGAGAGCGGCATGGACGCAGCATGGTGAATCCGAACGCAGCAGAGCGCTTTGCCTTTTAAGAAGAATTCCGATGTGGGGGTGTTTGGCTTTGGATTGAAAGAACTGGAGGTTTCTTGTGTTGATTAGTTTGGTAGCTTCACCAAGGACTATGAGGAATTGACCAAATGTCCACGGTTGAGGTATTCATTGGAGGACATGAAGCGTGAAACTTCCCAAATTTCTGGTGTTCATCGCACATTCAATCCCTTTTTGGTCCGGTCGATCGACTCAACATCACTTCAGAAGCCAACCTGGACGAAGGTCTTTGCTCTTTGGACAGAGAAGGCTTTAGCCAAATACCCTGGACAGATCTAATTCGCTTCGGCGGCCGGACCGATCGCGGACCCGTGAGGTCCCGCCGTGTGACCCCGTCTCAGGACCCGTCCCGAAACGAAGACCAATCTCATTGGCGGGGGCCCAAAGACCAGTCTAAGGACTTCGGGATTTCTAGGAACCGAAGCTACTAGCTGGAGGGTTATCGCTACTAGTCGACAAGAAAGCTTTCCAGTAACTAGAAGCTTTCAGCGGAGACGGCCACAGGGTTGCACTCGGGTCCCGGCCTCCGATCGTGGGATCTTTTTTGGTGGTGCCTGAAACCAGCGAGCGATTGTTTTAAGTGCGGGTGGACCGACTGCCGTCAGCCCTGCTGTTGTTCCGGGGGGGAAACCTGGAAGCCATTCCTTTGGACCAAAGTGTTGGACCCGGAATGCCGGTGACCAATTCCGTCTGATCAGTGCTATTGTCGTTTGGGCGTTGTATCCGAGCAGCACGGTAGTCATCGACGTCAAGGACCCTGACCCTTCGGAGCCTGGGAGGGGTTCCACCTATTCCCCTTCGGTGTTTGGGCAGTGTTTGGGCAGCATTTTGGAAGCATGCGTACCAGCACCCGACTTCACAGGTGCTTCCTGGTGACAACAGGTGCCCAGAAACCACCTCTTAGGGTCTCCAAACAGCCTGGCCAGCACCAGGAGGGTCCTAGTAGAGTATATCTGAGTATACCCAAGTACGTCTGGAGAGGGAAAACACCCAACGACCAATGACTCAATGACCAACTCGCAAGATCACTGCTGGGATCTCTCTGCCACGCGCGGGCGGCATGAAGGAAATACGAAGCAAAAGAATCGGCATAGGCAGTGAGAGCTTCATCATGTGTTCATTTGGTTTGTTTCCGCATTCCAAGTAAAAACCACAAACCATTTCTTCAACCACCAATTCCGGGTCACAGGGCAAGCGGCAAGCAAGCAAGGCCCCAAAGCATCTGTGTGGCTTTTGGTTGTCGCCGGAGTCGACCCTCTTCGGATTTCCTTGTTTCGTTACCGGTTTTGGTCCCATGGGAACGGGTCCAGGAACCGCTGCTACAACGGACGGACCAACCCTGGACGCACGGAACCGTTCGCAGTGAAACCGTGAAACTCTGTTCGGAACGTCTCGGTGGTCGTTTGGTGCTGAAGGTCTCTGCAAAACGGAAGGTCTCTCTTGAATGTCTCTGTGCTTCACAGCTGCTTTCTGGCCAAACCTGCAACCAGAAGAGAAACGGGAGTCGACGCTCGGATCCGGCGCTAGTCGACGACGCTCGGATCCGTCCACCAGGGATCCCGTGCTCGTTCGTCGCACGGTCGTCGCACGCATTTGTTCGAGTCGTGCGACGCGCGCAGGAGAGAAACTAAGTATGTTGTACAAGAGTGACGCACAAGAGTGGCCCACAACAGTGTGCTAGAATAGTGTTGCGCAAGAGTGTGGCACCAGCGTGTCCAAAAAATGTACCAGTAATATGAATGAATTATATCGCCTAGCCTATCAATAAAAGAAATTAAATATAAAAAGGCTAGACGATATTATACATTTCTTATATTTATCGGCTAGCCCAAATATTAAAGAATGAAATGTTCAGGAATTGAAGGCGTTTCGGCACCAAGTGTCCGTTCTTTGGGCCATCAGGTTCACCGAAAAATGGTCGCTTAGGCAAAGTGGGTCATTCTTGTGACCGCCTTAGCACGCATCATCCAACTTGGAATCCACGCTTTCCGAAGGAAATCGGGCCAGTTTCCACCCTTCATCACCCTCTACAACGTCGTCCCGCCCTCAGCTTCCGCCCATCCGCCATCATGCCGCCCGAGCCCACTTCGCCCGAGCGGCGCCTCAAGACGATGCGCCCAGCCGACTCCGTCGAAGCGTTCGGCGGCTCCTGACCAGTGACCGCGGAAGAAGAAAAGCACCGAGGTAGAGGGAATTGCTGGGAAAGTGGTTGGTTTTGGGGTTCTGAAGTATAGGTATAGATCAAAGGGCTGGTCTTTCTCGCTGTGGGTTCGACCCTCAAGCTGTCAACTCATGCTAACACGAATGGGTGGATTTCTCATCCCAACATGCTTTCACAGCGGCCGTTGCCCAAAAAAGAATAGAAAACACCCGAGGGCCAATTGAACCAGGTGGAACCTGGTGGACCACTCCGCTCCATGTATTGGTGCCGCCCAGGAAAGGGTGGTCGACATCGCCCAACACACCCGGAACCGCCTCATGTCGCTGGTGTGAACTTCGAGGACTTGACGAATGCAAAAGCACAGGACTTGGAGATATGTCATCCGCAGCAGTGGAGAACCGCCAGGAGAACCTCTGGAGCCAATCAGTCTTCTAGAAAATGTCCAACAGGTTCAGCATACATGTGGTATGCCATTTGACAGGAATTCCAGAATTTCATGACATCTTTGTTGGAAGAAGATTTCCATGTCCAAGGGTCATGGTATTGCATGTACACACCATAAGGACAAGCTTCTATAGCGGGATCATCCAGCTGACTCTACCACCGATCCCTTAAGTAGGTTGGCAGTTACGTCCCACTCGTGACTTAGCCATTGTGGCTCTCAGCTCAGCTCTTGAAGTAAAAACAACAGCTGTAGTGCTGCTCCCCCCTACTCACGTGGTCCAATCACAGTGGTCCGGAAGGTTCTCAGACGGAACCTGTTTCAGCAGTGTCGAAAGCTCAAAATCCCGCGGAGTGATTCAAGGTTGGCGACGTCAATCGTTGGCAAACGTCCAATGCCCAATTCCGACGAATTCCAAGCCACACACCAAGCAGCGCAGCTTGAGAAGCTGAAGGTAGACTTCCAACTTCCAACTCGCTGTTTACCTTCGCAATCGCTTCCTTCCCCATGAACCGCTCCAGTACGACCGTGGCATTGGCCACCGCTGCGGCCGCCACCGTCACAGTGGTGCTTTGGTGGCGTTCACGTGCACGGCGCTGCAAGGCCTTTCCGCCAGCCAAGCCTGTTGAGGACGACGGGTGAAATGGAGAAGTGAGACTCCGAAACAGAAAGAGAGAGAGAGATGGTTTGTTGGGGCACCGTTGTTGGGGAGAATGGCCAGCTGGGCACCGGCGAATCGTGATCTCAGGATGTTTCAGGGGTCAGTCACCAAAAAGCTCAAGGGGTCAGTGAAAAAGCCAGTGTTCTTTGGAACGTTCTCCAAAAAGTTCTTTGGACCCCGTTTGGTTTCTACGCCGCTGGCCACGCGAACCTCGAGGTTCTCTCTGAACCGGCCACTGCTTGGACCGCGGCCCACGCGGCCCCCCGGAACCGGCCAGGACCTCATTCGTCGAGGGCTCCGGAAGCAGGACTTGCCCTCCGAGGCCGATGCCATCGTCATCGGTGCAGGCGGGGAGGGACCGGCTCCCGGGCGGAGGAGTCCCCGAAAGAGTTGGCACAGCTTCCCTCCAGCCACTTGGGCGAAGGTGGAATGTCTTGCCGTGGCCAAGCTTGAAACCGGAAGAAACACGATGAGAGGTGAGGGTGGCGATGTGATCCCAATCTCATTTTCATGGCGGATTTGCGCCGCTCTCGTGCCGGATTGGGTACATCGGCACTATGGAGTTGGTATCACTGACGCACACTGACAAGAAGCTACGAACGGGGCTCCTGGCCTTACTACTAGGAGCGATCGGCCGCTACGAACGGGGCTAGTTGGTACACTGTACACGTCGTACATGGCCTCAAAAGGCTTTGGGTTTTCGCTCGTTGCGCCGTGCCGCTGGCATCGCACCGTGTCCTCCAGGTCCTGCAGGCCTCTCGTTGGCCGTGTTGCTGGGGAACTTCGGCCGCAAGGCCATCCGCGATCGATCTGGTTCGCGTCGAGTGCGAAAATCACTTCGGGAGGTCCGGTTCAAGCTTTCATTTTTCACTGCGGTTCAAACGTCGGAACGTCATGGTTTTGGGCTCGAAGAAGTGCGGTTTTTGGTCGATCGGTCCAGGTCCTGGTGCTGGAGCAGCACGACCGCGCCGGAGGCGGCCTACACAGCTTCACCGAGCATGGCCCGGTGCCCAGTGCGTCCGAGACAACAGTCCAGTGGGTCCGGTGGCGTAGGTCGTCCAACCGGTGAGTCCAACTGGCGCCACAAGAGACGGTGTCCCTCTGACCTTGTGGGGTACTCAACTGGGCGGGTTCTTCAACCTTTGAATGATCAGATGTGGACAACACCTTGAAGAGCAGACGCACCCTGATTGACGCTCTTGGCAGATGTCTTTTTGCACCTGATTCAGGCAGATGGTCTTTGGCTATTGATGGAGAGATTCTGACGTGGCGCCGAATATGTGGAGCAGTCTTGGTCTGAAATCTCTAAAGAGAAGCGCGTTTGAAGAGAAGCCAGTGATGATGGGTGGAGGTGATGCATGCATTTACCCCGTCTCCATGACGACATCAACAGCGCAGGCGCCCCTGCACGGCCTTCCCAGCTCCAGCGCAGATCGCTGCGACACGCGGACGCGCAGACCGCCGCGATGGGCGTGAGTGGATCGCGAAGTTCGGCCGGCGATAGGACCATATGGCCAGGGTGGCAGTGATCATCGCAGCATATCACAGAGGTTGACTTCAACCGCCGTCCAAACGCTCAAAGCCCGAAGCGGTCTTTAGGTCCAGGGGCTCATGATACGTCGACCCAGTGGAAACAGCTTGTTTGGATAGGCTTTCTGGGTGAGATCGCTTCGGATGGGTTGGGTTTCAAAATGGTTGGCCATCGGATGGGTTCAGGTTTGCTGTAGGGGCAGATGGCTCTCAGTGTCCGATGAAGTTCTTCTGGGACCCAAGCACCCAGCTTTGTGAAGCGACTAGGTGGAGGCCATCGCTATTGGGTTGGAGGCCATCGCTACTAGTAACAATAAAGCTTTCTAGCTTCTAGTTACTAGAAAGCTTTATTGTTACAGGTGAAATGATTCCCAAGAGGGCTTTGCTGTAAATGGTGAGCACCACGTAGCCCGGGCGACGTACACAGATCTTTGATAGCAACTGCAGCGGCGCGGTTCGGTGTGGGTGGTCTTTTACACGCGCGGAGCGTGTGGAAGTGGTGTTTCAGGCAATCGAGGGGAGCGTTCCGAGCGTTCCTTCTGTCACCTCAAAGTCATTCTCAAGATGCAATATGGTTTGAGTGTTCTCAGGCATCGACTAAACCACTAAAAGTGGTACCAAACTGGAGGATTTCAGTCATCCCCCCTCTCCCAAGTCTGCTGGTGATGTCCGGCCACTGAGGCTACGAGTTCGAGACCGGTTTCCACTACTTAGGCCCGGAATCCGGACGGTTCGCTCTGACGCTGGGCATGGACGGTTGGCTCTTTGCTTCAAAAACCAGGGTTCCACAGGGTTCGTGGAGGGTCCTGTGATGTTTGCTTCGGTTCTTGGGGGTTCAGAGGCTACAGGTTTACAGGTTGCTGATTGCTTGGATTTTGGGCCGGATCAAATCTTTGTCACTTCGACGAATGGCTGTGCAAACGCGTGCATTTGTCTTGGTTGACATGAAAAATGTTGATGGCTATGGTCAAGTGTAGAACACAGAAGCACCATAGAAGCACCCTGTCTTTCACGTTCTCCACATGTTCATTGACCAAAACAGCTTTTTTCTCTGCTGACAGGTTGGCTTCCGGCCCGTCGTTGGCCCTGTCCACATGTGAACCCGTCGGTCGTCCAGCTGGTCCGTTCCCGACGTCGAACCGGCGAGGCGAGATGCAGAAGGGGGCCGAGCTGCGATCCATCGTGGATTCCTTGACCAACGAGGAGCGCTTCAAGACGAAGACAAACAGCTCCGGTGGCGATGTTTTTTGTGGTATCAAACAGTAAACGCTTTCAACGACCGAAGCGAACGAAAGCATTGTTAGTGGCCTCCAAGCAGAAAGCTTCGGTCCATCCGAGCACAACTCTGTGGTTGATATCTGAAAGCGATCACCGTGACCGGTGAAGAAGGACGGAAAACGACCGAAGCGGGAAAACCGGAACGGGGTTGAAGCGGTTCGAAGCTCGGTGCCAGGAAGTGGAGTTCACCAACCTTGACGTGCCTCCAACAAGTCGTCGCTGTTGGACTTGGATCAGCTATTTTAAGTTGGGTTCTCTCCCCGAGGTTCTGGGAGGGAACTTTGCGCAGCCCAAACCTGAAGGAGTATGACCAATATTCGGAAATCATATGCGTGTTTTTTGCGGTGAAAGAGATCAGAGACTTTTTAGGGATTATACTTTTAAGTTCCTGTGCACTCCAAGGCCTCCTGAAGGTTGCAAAAATGGGTCTATCACTTTGCTCCTCCCTGCAAGTGTTCAGAATCGTCAGAACTGTCTTCGGTTTTGAACGGGGCAGGTGAGGCAACGTGTGTTTCACTTTTTGGATCTTAAAATCTCGTGGAGATGGTGAAGCTGTACTTGTCCAAAATCTATTCAACCCATGTCTTGAGACTGTTTAGGGGTCTGGGCCCTAAACAGTCGCTGGAAACGGCGAAAGCAAAACAGGGGGTGATTCCTGGTTGTCTCTCACCAAGTTGTCTTCCACCCCTCATATCTTCACATATGAAAGGTACTAAGAGGAATGGAGTGTCTTACTGGGGGACTTGATGGTGGACTTTCTACTAGGTCTTGGGTGGCTTTTCAAGGTTCGTCAACATCACCGCCTCGTTTGGACCTTCCCACAAACTACACAATACCAACCATACCAACGAACATGTTTGCAGAGAACACTAGTGTTGCTTCCCCATGGTCCCAGCTCCAAAACAGAACGCTTCGTGTCAGGTGGTCCAAAAATGAAGACATCTGTGAATGCCTTTTCGCACTTTTGCTGGTCGTTTGAACCATGGTGAACCCCATGCTTTCGAGCTTTGGGGGTTGGAACCACACACGCGAGGTCCCTCGTGTCCCACCCGCCCTCAACGCGCCTCCGCCTGTCTTCTGAGGCGCGTTCGGGGGGCATCTACGACAAGGTGGTCTTCCAGAATGGCTCGGATCACCTGGGAGTTCCGCCCCATGGCTCGTGTTGACCGGTCGTGTTGACCCAGATCCGTGGTGTGGGTGGTGTTGGGGGTGTGTTGACGGTCTGTTCGTTGGGTTTGTGTTAGATCTCTTTGTTGTTGCCATGGACTTCTTTGGGGGGGGAGGATTTTGAAGCACCCAGCTGTAAACGGGGTTCTTTCATGTGCTTTCCACTTGTGTAGGCTGCCCACCACCAATCTACTGTGTGGTGAGAATCATCCAAAGCTTCGCAAGTCGCGTTGAATGGTCTTGCTGGAGATGTCTTCGTGTTGATTCTTTCGTCAAAAAAAACACATCTCTTTTTTTCCGGTGACCAACGACCGACCTGCTCTCCGCTCTCTCCGCTCTCTCCGCTCTCCGCTCCCAAGGAATGGTCTGGTAGCGTCTAGTTTGTTACTACTAGTAAGGCACTTGTTACTAGTAGCTTCTTGTTACTAGTCGTAAGGATGCTCCGTTCGTAGCGATGCCAGGAGCGCCCCGTTCGTAGCGTCCTTGTTCCGTTCGAGTCGCGATGCCAGTAGCTTTCCAAGGAATGGCCTGGAGCAATGGCTGGAAGTCTTGCAGCAGAAGTTCCCCGAAGAACGCGAGGCCATCGCCGTGTATGGCCGAGACTTGAAGGCCGAGTCGGCGCTGGCGCTTCGCTCGTGAAGAAACGGACGATGCCGGTGCCGGTGGGGGGGAAGGTGAAGCTTTTGGGTGTGAAGATAAGAGAATTTGATGAATCTTGAAGCTGGCGATCCAGCTTTCTGTCTGAAAGTCTTTAGTGAAGCGATGATCATCCACACGTGGACCCAAAAGAGTCTTCGTTTTCTCAGGATTGAAGTGCGGAGATGGCAAACAACACATGGCCATCTCCGACCGTTTGAACCACATGTGTTCACAGGCGGCCATGGTCACGTTCTTCCCCACCATGGTCTGGCGTACCTTGCCCTTCGACTGGCTCAGATGCTTGGAGAAGCGCGACTGCCGTCGGGGGCTCCGTCGCTCGAACAGTCGTGGGCCTCCGACTCTTTCGTTGGATCCGCCACAGCGGTCGAATTGTAGACCCGACATGTCGTTGCGAAGGATGGCCATCCGCCATGGATGGATTCCGCAAATCTGTCGCGGCCATGGACCACGAGGCCATGGACCTGCAGGCCATCGCTAGTACGCAGGTTGGAGGCCACGCTTCTAGGGTGGAGGCCATCACTAGCAGGTTGGAGGACGGAGGACCTGTGCTTTTTGGTCAAAGCCTTTGCCACATGGCCATGACGAACATTGTTCGGCTTCAGGAAAGCTGCTCTATCCACTGCTGGCAGCACCGGCCATGAAATTGTCCAAGCCGGCGAGTGAGCGATTGGATGAGATCACCAGGTTGGGGTCGTTGGGGTTGGTCAGGGGATGAGGATGGATCGTGTGGTGTTCTGACACTTGTATCGTTTTCATTGTTTGGAGGTTTGGATCATGTCACTTCAATCCCGAACGGGATCCACCCACGCACGACCCGGTTCGGGACCGAGGCACGACCCGAGGGAAACCACCGAATGACATGTCTGGGAGAAACACCAAAGCCTCGCCCGCACCGAAGTGCAGAGGGTGAGATCCGTGGGGCTCCAATCCACAAATCCCATGCACCTTACCATCCCACACACGATCATTCAACCTGACGGACGTTTGATTCTCGCCGAACATTCCGGGCGCTAAGCGCCCGGGGGCGGCGCTTCGTTCGCAACGATCATTTGACCCATGAGACCGGGCCCTGTTTCTCTACCAGGCACAGAACGATAGAGCGAAGTCTTAGTTTCTGAATCGCGGCTCCTTCGACTTTGGACCCGCTCGCTTCTTTGTTACTAGTAGAATGCTACTAGTAGTGATGCCAGGAGCCCCTAGTAGCTTCTTTGTTACTAGGTTTTTTGGAAGTGCTTTCAAGTCAAGTCCTTCAGATGGCCTCCCACCTGATAGCGATAGCCTCCACCCTAGTAGCGATGGCTGCTAGTGAGTGCAAGAAATGAAAAGAGCTAGTGTTGAAAGAGAAGATCGTCAGAAAATCAGAAGAATGAAGAATCTTGATCAAAGTTTGTCTTCGTTGATTCGTTGAAGAACACTTCTCAGGAACCACCCAAAACGAAAGGCCACGATCCATACTAAACTTTGAGCTTCTTGTTGCTAGTAGCGATGCCCCTCCAAGCGGTTTGCATGTGTCATTCGTCTCCGAGACATCTCGAACTCGTGACTGCAGGAATGGCAAGTTGAAGGCTGTTTGGTCCTTGGCGCGCGGACAGACCAGGAGGGCAGTCCACAAGAAGCATCCCTTTGGAACAAGTAGCTTCTTGTTACTAGAAGCGATGCACTTGTTCCTAGTAGCTTC